GTTCACAGCTCACTGAGTACAGAGAGAGAAGCCATGTTTAACTCTGGAAAGATTCGATTGATAAAAATAAGAAAAACATGCAGCTGAGCAAACAGAAAGAGAAAAAAATACATGGATCTGAAGGTAGAAACAAAGACGGGGGAGACTTCCTGCCTGACCGCAATAAGTAGAATAGATAAATAAAAGTTGTTGCCTTGGTAATGGGTTTAGGTTTTTGTTGTTATACTCTATCTATATTTCTGTGTCTGAAGTTTTTCTTTCAGCCTTTAGAGCTGCTTTATCTGTGGCATAGACTCCACACTGGCTTTTGGATGTGATGACCTCATTGTGATGTTCAAGAAACCAATATGAGACTAGTTTGGTGTCAGGATCGGGGCAGACTGGATGTTTTTCCCTCTTCTTTCATCTGGCAGGGCTTGCCTCCCAGCTCTCCACGGCTCCTGCCAAGTCATCCTCACAAGTCTCCTACAGGAAATTCTTCCCCGGTTCTCAGAAGTCTGTAAGAGTCACTAGCTGCCGTAACCTTAGCCAACTCTTCCTGTCCACACTAATCCTGCCTCTCCTCTGCAGACGCTCCCTGACTGCCAGTGCTACGTGTAGTGTCAGCTGTGATTCTCCCTCCTTGTTTTGCCTTATTTATGTTGTCAAAAGCAAAGCTCGTAATTGTGCTACGCACCGTCTCAGGCTGCTAGAAATTCTTCAGCCATGACACATGGTCTGTGATTCACCCTGAGAGGACAGCAGCACGAGTTATTGTTTCTGCACCATGATACTAAACAGTTTCATCTGCTCTAAGCTGCCTAGTTATTTCACACAACATTTAATAAACACTAAAATTAATCAGAATATGTTTTTCAACATATTTTCCAATATAAAATAACCTGATAACATCAGCAACAATTAATGTAGAAACCCAGGGTCTAACATGAATTAGGACATTAAAATAATCTTGGAATGTAACATTTATTAAATGTCACTCATGGAGAAGTTCTTACATCTTTTTTCCACCCTTATGAATCAAGTCATTACATGGTGAAAGCCTGTCAGATTTAGTGATTTATTTGGTTAAGATGCTCTTTTAGTCCACTGTATGTATGTAAAACAGAATAATCTGTTAAAGCAAACATGATGCATAGCACCAGATTTCTTCTTCTACAAGAGCTTACAGCCACATCATCACCATTAGCAGTCTGGCTACATTTTTCATGCAGTACGAGGATTTTTCTAGTCTTATTTTAATAATCCATCATAATAATCTGTATTTCTCCTATTAAAAAGTCTGTTACATAAGCCATCCTTTGATTACCCTGCTGGTTACGGGTGACGCTTTTTAATGGCTGGAGGTAAATGACAGGATTGTATTCAATCAGCTCAGGTCAGATGGAAAGAGCCTCTCATAAATACCATCACCTCTCATCATCATGTTCAAGTGTGAAGGGTCTGTTAGAGTATAAAGTGTCACATCGTCATTATAGCATCGAAGAGACTGACATATTATGTTTTTATTATTTGCTAGTGATTTTATTTGAAATCTCCATGATGAAAAAAGTTTTACCAGGTAAAAACCTCAGAATTGGACTCAGAGGTTAGCCATCAGCCTCGGCTGATCTAGGATGACAGTGTTACAAACAACAAACCATAATGACACATACATGTTACACCACAATAGCAACATAAATGCCTTTTTAAACTGTATCTGTTTGGGAAATGACGTTTGGCTAACTGCTAACTATCCACAGTTATGGTTTGTAGCAGTGCAATACTGACAACTGCCACTGGATTACTTTAGTGCTGAAGCATCATAACGAGAAACAGGATAGGATGTGTGCATCGTTATGGTATAACATTATAACTTTGGCCAAAATGGAGACATACAAACATGCCAACAAAGTTACTCAGTCAAGAGCAAACAGTAGTACTGTGCCAAAGCGCAAATTATGCTGTTCTGCATAGGCCCGAACCCCCTCAGATCATTGACAAGACACTCTACGGATACATGGATGACATCAAGCTGTATGCCAAGAATGAACGAGAGTCACTGATCCACACCACCAGGATCTACAGCAAGGACATCGGAATGTTGTTCGGAGTGGAGAAGTGTAGTTGGATGGTAACAAAGAGAGGGAAGGTAGTCAGAACTGAGGGACTGAACTACCAGAAGGCAACATTGCAGACACAGAGGACAGCTCCAGGTACCTGGGGATCCCACAGGCAAATGGGAACCATGAAGAGGCTGATAGAAAAGCTGCAACCACCAAGTACCTGCAGAGGGTCAGGCAAGTCCTGAGGAGTCAGCTGAACGGTAAGAACAAGATCCGGGCTATCAAAACCTGATCAGGTAACCTGCTGGGATAATAAGCTGGCCAAAGGAAGAGATAGAACCCACTGATATCAAGACCAGGAAGCTCCTGACTATGCATGGAGTTATATAATTAGTCATGTAAATGTATGTCTCTGATTGATTTCCACTGCCATACAAAATAAGGGTTATCAAAATAAATTGTGCCACAATCAATGTCATACAGTAAAACAAAACCAAAAATAAATGTGAACAACTTGAAATAAGATCTCCTCCTAATAAAACACTGAACTAGGAGAACTATATAACACCAGGCACCTCCCTCATCCCTCCAAGCTGCCCCACAGATGTATAATCCCCCCACAAAAACAGCCCATGCAGCACTGGAGTGGTTGCCTCCAGATTCCCTCCAAGCCCTCTTGTCTAAAGTGCAGCTTCTGTGATTACTGAATAAAATGATTTACCCAGTTAGATCCCAAAATGAACACGTAAATAAGAAACCACACATATTTTACAACAAAAACAACGGTACCGTTTAAGAACTGCTTCTCAGGCAAAATACAAAGCTCTATATGGACCATGTTAGTTCTCTGCACTACAAATGTTACTGTAAAACCACCTTTCATCCCCACTTTGCATTGTTGTCCATAGCATAAAGTTCACTTCCATAAACTCTCTGCATATTGGAGGTTTTCTCATGCTGAAACAGAGTTTTTCTTTCCCACTGTTGCCAAGTGCTTGCTCCAAGGGGGATGTTTGATTGTTGGGTCTTTACTTCACAACATAAAGCTGTTGTTGTGATTTGGTGGCATATAAATAGAATTGAACTGAACTACATGGAACACTGCATCTATTATAACAGCATGGCTTCGTAGTACAATAGTAAAAAAAGTGTTGAAATTGCCTGGCTGCAATGCAGATCTTTCACCAATTAAAGACAGCTGGCACAATGTGAAACAAGATGAACTATAAAAATGAAAACAAGAGAGCAGTAAACGTCCAGTGAGACATGTTGCTGCCATCATGGTACATTTCCTCTTTTTAACCTCTGATTTTATTCTGTTCTGAATAAACGATGCCTTTATTGCTAATCACTACATTCTGTTTTACACACCGCCCCAATGCTTACAGAAAGGACGGACCGTACATCTTATTTAAACCAAAACAAACACAAACACACAAAACAAGGATCTTTATTTAAGTCATAGAACAGAGGGCAACATAAGAATGGTTTTACATCGCGCGTTCTCTAGTATGTGACCACGATCCAGGACAGCCTCGGCCCATCAGTGAGCGATTCAGACTAGAGTCAGTAAATCATAAAGATAAAACTGTATAAAAATAAACCAAAGCGCAGGGGCTACACTAAAATAAGAAATGTTTGACGTACACGTGTGCTGTTGTGCTTGCCAATAATAAAATAACCATACACATAAAGGAATTTCACCTCTTTGACTTGCCTTTACTCACATCTTTAGTCCCTTTTAGGAATGACAGTGAAATGATGTACCGGAAAATCAGATTAGAAACATATTGTTGAAAAAAGTAATAGTATGAGAAACAAAATACTTAATAGACATTTGTTTTTCTAAAATATGGCTCTGCATTAAAAAATATTTAAATGACATAACACGTTGGTCAGTGAAACCTGATCATCACAGCCCTCACAAGTCCAACACTGAACTCTGTGGATTTACAGACAGCTCAAGTGGTTACAAATGTTACAGTACGGCATGTGCAACAAGGTCACAACGTTACTGCTGAGCTCTGGGTTAGTGTCAGACCGTGGGGACATCCGCCTGCTTTTAGCGCACATATCCAGTTCATCACAAAGATTCAAATAATATACAGACAAAAATAAAAGTGCTATAGTGATAAAGCAAAATCAAAACATCAAAAGCAACATTCAGTCATGAAGCCATTCGGGAATCCTCAGTAGATGACATTTCATTTTGGAAGTTTGTGTCCTGTGCGTCAAACTGCGAGAAAAACAATCAGCAACGCACTGAAGCCGCTGCTGCTTTTAGATGATTAGAGTGAGACGGACATGCTAGTTTGAATTTATTATAAGATGCAGATCTTCCTTCTGTCTAAGAGCTGTTCGGTTGGTTTCCCCCTCAAACCACACGAAGATCTCTCCCGTTTAAAGGGGGCTCTTCCTTCTTACCATTGCTGCTGCTGACTGCTGGGGTTCTCCCTCTAGTACTGTAGGGTCTTTGAGTTTTTCTTTCTTTTTAGTATCAACTCTTTAACCAGTGGAGACACGTTGGAAGCTCAGCAAAACAAAAGACAAATTAAGATGATAAAATGTTCACCAAATGTACTGACGACAGGGTTAATGGTGCATTCTCACTGGATAAACAAGCTGCTTCATGTTTATATATGACAGAAAAATCCTTGCCGTCACTTCTAGAGTTAAATATTTGTAGGAAGGTGGACGTGCATGGACCTGTTCCTCCTCTGGGAACACATAATGTCCTTGAGAATTATCAGAATACTAGTGAGAATCTCGCATTAACGTGTGTAATGCTTTTAATGCTATCAATCATTCTGCAGCTGTTTCATCAGATGGCAGGATGACTCTGCGGCTCACAGCTTGAATGCACAGCAAGTGTTCTTGAATAATCAGCATCGATATCTGTGGTTTATGGTTTATTGTGTGTGTGTGTGTGTGTGTGTGTAGGTGTGTGTGTGTGTGTGTGTGTGTGTGTGTGTGTGTGTGTGTGTGTGTGTGTGTGTGTGTGTGTGTTAGCACACTGGAGGTTGGACTGAAGAAGACCAAAAAGACTGCAGTGATTGACAGCTGAAAGGTTTCGTTACCTGGATAACGACGCCCCCTACTGTACAGAGGATGTATGTGCATGTGTGTGTGTCAGAACGCTATCAGGGATGGAGGAGGTTTGAGGGGAGGCAGCTGGGTCAAATGGTGATGTAGTGCTGTCGCAGTTTGGCCATCAGGAACTCGTGGGTTAAATTGTGTCGTGTGATTATTCCCACAATCTAAAAAAAAAAAAAAGAAAAAAAAAAGAGTTGAGTTGGTGAGGACAACATAACACAACAACTCTGTGGCTTCCTCACACGTTTACTAGAGGCATGAAAGCCCAAATCACTTACTTCTCCAACAGCATTAACCACGGGTAAGTGTCGCAGGCCCATAGTCCTGAAGAGGTTAAACACCTGGGAGATGCGGGCATTGGGTGAAACAGTGTAGGGACACGGGTTCATGTAGGGGGTGACATCCTGGGTACACAGAAAGGACGGCCTGTTAATGAATCTGAGTTTTCTGCTTGATTATTTTCTGTCTCAGTCGGGTAAATCGAACGTACCACTATCATGCGAGGGCTGAGCAGGGTGAGGTCGAGGTCATGGATGTCAGGGTAGCGTGGGTAATCTTCAGTCATCTCTGCATACGACAACCTAGGCTGATTGGTGCTCTGCGTCAGAGGGTACAGAGAAACTGCTCGTATAAGAAAAAGTCATCTCATTTATTATCTACACATGTGTGTCAATGACTGACCGACTGGTTCTCGGCGTAGCACACCCCTCGTATGAGCAGGTTAACCAGCTGGGAGCGAAGGATGAGACCGTGAAAGGTTAGCGGCCTGAAGCGCTCCTCCATGGTCCACTCCTCACTGGGAGACTGGTCTGGGTACAGGTTAGGGTAGGGAGCATGCCTGCAGCACAGAAATCACAGGAGTGCCAGATTTATTTGCAGTTATTATGCACCACAAAGAAAACACAGACAGAATGAAAGGCAGTGTTACAAATACTTGTAGTTACTATGTGCACTGACAGCATCAGGAGTAAATTCAAAAACTTGTGGTAAATATTAGGAGTTCAACTCATTATACTACGCCATTCGACATCAGCTTCTCTGGTCATTTGTCATCTATCTGGAGCAGGGGTGGGAACTCCAGGACTTGAGGGCCGGTGTCCTGCAGGTTTTGGGTATCACCCTGGTTCAACACACCTGAATCAAATGTTCAGTTCATTACCAGGCCTCTGGAGAACTTCAGGACTTGTTGAGGAGGTAATTTAGCCATTTAACCCTCTCAAGGCAGGCGTTGCAGATTTGCAACAGTTAAAAGCTAACAACCTGATTACCCCACATACATATTTTATGAGTTTTTTTTACTCAGAAGTACCACTGCAGGTATTCTTTTGTGCATTAGCAACAAAAACTTAATTTGAGCCTGAGAGGGTTAAATCAGCTGACACATCTAAAGCCTGCAGGACAGCGGCCCCTGGAGTTCCCACCCCTGCTCCTGAGCGCTGCTTCTGGGGCCCCTTGGTTATACTGCCTCCTCTTGGTCTAAAGAATTATTTTGGACAAACTTCAAAAACCAAAAAACAAACCTCTGACACTGATGATGACAAGAGATTGTAATCAAATCTGTAACATTCAAACTTCTCTGAATTTTAAATCTTTCCTCTCAAGGGGTGGCTGTAGCTGTAGCTCAGCGGGTCATCTCCTAATCGGGAGGTGGTTTGATTCCCTGGCTGCACCAGTCTGCATGACAAATACATACCTTGGGCAAGATGCTAAGCCTGACCAACTCCGGTATAAATGTTTGTGTTTTCGGTCCATTTACCAAATAAAAAACCTTAAATAATTAGGCCCCATTTTATCCAGGTTTCAGCTTTCAAGCCTCTCGTCTGTGGATCTCCCAGTTTTTATTTGGGACACAGACACTGTCCGTACTTTTAAGATTAGTCTAAAAACGTTCCTTTTTCATAAAACACATAGTTAGGGCTGGATCAGGTGACCCTGAACTCGGTTATTGCTATGCTACACTAGGCCGAGTGCTCGTCAGTCAGCTGTCTAATTACTTCTGGCCCTCTGAAACTATAAATGTCTAAGTATTAATAGTTACTGCCGTATTGTTATCAGACATCCTGAATAAGAGCTTGATGTCTGCACTTTAATCACAACTTGATTGTTTGATTTAAAATCCACTGAGATCAAATTTAGAGGTAAAACTTCAGAGACTGTCTGGATGTGTTTATCTGGCCTACCTCCTCTCTAACATCTGCTGCAGCAGGTCTTCTCCCTCTTCTGAAGGTTCGACTGCAGCACTTTGCTCATCGCAAACATTCCTCAGCTCGCTCGATGGGTACGACTTCATGGACTGGCAGCGCCGTCGCTGTTCGCCCGCACGTGACACAACACTGGATTTCTACATGTAACAGTCAAGGGTTAGAAGAAAACACAGCCTTCAAAAACCACAACAATGATTTCATCCAAAAATAAAGAAACATGAAATTCTTAAATAATTATCTGCACATCAACATATTGCAAAGCTTTGCTCACTACAGAGCCAAACCTATGGGCTCGCACTTTCAAACCCACTGATTCTCCCTGGAGACAAAAATACAAGCTCGGTAGCTGATGTTACTTTGGTTTTTATACTTTATTTAGCTCAGTAACATTTCCTGCTGCCTCTAGGTTTTGTTAAACACTACTTCAACACAGACCATCGAAATGATAGAACCAGTGACAGAAAACTCGATCATCACAGTCTGACCTGTTAGGAAGCACAAACCGTATGAATCCATTTGATCTGCTTCACAAGTGACAACAAGTGCACTGCAGACACACTCAGGCTGCACATACATATGTGGAGACCACCGGTGGCTCCCCGTTCTCTTCATGTTCACACTTTCATTTGCACCCAAGCAGATGAAACTGATGCATGTTGGTTTCTGCTTCCTTACTGGACAGACTGATACACCAAAGGTTTACACTGTGAGGATCAATTTGCATGAATGACACGGCAAAATAGAGCTGACCAAATCAATCATAGTTTCTACTGTTGTTTAATTCTTAATCTTGGAAGGGAAACAAATCCACATTCTTTTCAGAATTATACAAATTACTGACTGCTGTAAAAGTCTGCATGCTCTTTGTTAAATCAATGACGTGTCTGTATCAAAACTATATTATGGGACGAGCAATGAGGAATTAGAAAAAACGAAGAACAAAGCAGAAGCAACCTGAAGGACATTGCTGGAGGGGCTACAGTGTCACTAAAGAAATGTTTCAAAGTCACTGCTGCCCCTGGTGGGGGGAGCCTTAATCACCTCCATTTGGACGGGAAGCTTGAGCTCTGTAAAAGAGCAGGACATACCTTGAAGTGGATATTGTTGCTGATCAGGATGTTGCCCTTCATGAAATCCCTCTCATTCTGACGGTTTTCAGTAACTACGGGGAAGGCATGGTAGACCGTGGTGCGCAGAATGCTGACTAGAGACTGGACTCGGGTGTGGGGGTACACGTAAGTCAAGTTGGTCTCCATGATATCACTGGCTGTCAGCCTTGAAGAAATGAGAGATAAAGACAACCTGAGTCCACAGGAAGAGCGACCATGCTCGAATCACACAGTTTGGGTTTTTAACCTCACCCTCACACTGCAGGCTTATTATGGCGTTCCTAGAATCTGTAAAGGCAGAAAACGAGACAGAGCCTCTCATGCTAATGCTGAGACTGACAGCTTTGTCTTTTTGATGAAGTGCATCGAGGAAGCTTTGACACTGCTTCAGCCTTTCACCAAAATGGACTAAATTCATTTTTCACCTACATTTTTTTCAACTATTTGCAAAAATCTCAAGCATCTAAACAGTTTGAGGCGTGTATTCACCGATGAAAGGCAACATCAAATCCCCTGACAGATCAGCTCTGCAATATAAAGTCTTGTCATAAACCACCTCATTTTTCAATTTCCACCTTAACCCTTCAGCTGCCCACCATGGTGGAGGGGTTTGTGTGCTCCAGTGATGCTAGGTTGAGGAGGCTCGTTTTGTACCCTCCCCGGGACAGGATTACTGGGGCCACACCCTCGAGTCAGGCCTGGGGAGGTAGCTCGATGGAGAGTGCCTGGTGGGTGGGCTTTAGCCCATGGGGTTTGGCCGGACTCAGCCCGTCTCTCTTCTGTAGACCCACCACCTGCAGGAGGCGCCATAAAGGTCCGAGCATTGTGTCTCGGGGTCTCAGGGTGTGTTACGCCCCTCTGCAGTCCCTAATCTCTTTGCAGTGACAGTGCAAGAGTGTTCAGCTGTTGCTAATTGACCACACCTAGTCAGGTGTGGATAAAGGCATACCTGAGGCAGGCTTTCAGGGAGGATCACTAGTCTTTGCCTTGGTGGTGCCAGCTACTTTAGCCAACTTGCCATGTAATTTTAGAAAAAACTATTCTTGTTGAAATTCTGGTGTTCGTCTCCATATTTATGTTGCGGCTTTCAAGCCGGGTCATAACAGGGTGTTTTTCACAAGTGAGAAGAGAGGCAGATTAACACATGGGTTGATGCTGCGTCTACAGTACCGATTCGTCTTGGTAAATAAAGAGCGAAGCATAAAAGTAAAGCTTTTCTGATCGATTTACATCCCTACATGACCTGTGGTCACAAGCTCTGGGTAGCGATCGAAAGAATGAGATTGTGGTTCCCGTAGATAAGCTGAAGCTCTGGGCATTCTTGCTTTTAGGGTGCTAGCTCCACAATCCGGCCCCAGACGAGCATTGGATGGAACAATGAAGTATCAGACCTGTGCTTTGTGTAAGCAAGTAAGTAAGTAAAACTTTATTTATATAGCACCTTTCTAGACATTTCTTGTGCTTCACACAAGGATAACAAAGCATAAAACAAACAGACACCAGTTAGCAAAATGCAATTCTAAAAAGTGTGATTTAGTTGTTTTTTGAAAGAAGCTACTGAGTCCAGAGATCTTATGCTCAGTGGGACAGAGTTCCACAGTCTGGGAGCCACAGTGGCAAAAGCTGTCTCGTTTAGTTCTCAGCTTTGTATGATGAATGACAAGAAGACCCTGATCACATGACCTCAGAGACGTGCTAGGAAGATAAGGCTGTAGAAGTTCAATGATGTAGGCAACAGAAGAAAAAAAACGAATAGATACTTGAGGTTGGCAGCTGCATTGATCTGGAGAGTTGAACTGCTCTGGGCTAAGGAGGCATACCAACGCCTACTGACAATGCTGACAACACAGTTCATCCACCACAAGGGCCAACTGTCCTTTTTTGTTGCCAACAACAATTCTTACCTGTCCATCTCTACCTCAGTCTCCCACTCGAGCAGAGGCACTCCTCTCAGCTGGATGTGTATATCATAGATGCCCTTGTTGAAGAAATCACCAGTCCACTTGGCAACCTGACAGTCAACACAAAAGAATTTGCACATGAACTCAGGTCACAGTGGCAAACAGTGCAAAGTGCAAAAACACATGGTTGTGTACCATTAGCGTAATCATGATGGGCAGCCCGTATGTGATTTCATTGGTGGATTCAATGAGGATGACAGTGAGGCTGATGGTCATTCTGACCACACCTCCAAGGAAGGCAGCAGCTCCAATGAGAGCAAAGGTTCCTGAGTAGATGTCCATTCCCAGTTTCCTAACAGAGGACAGACTCATTAAGAACCAGTATAACCACTGAGAGAATGTGACAACTGAAAGTGTTACGACTCAGTTTGCTTTGTTTTCACTCTGATAAGGTCGATAATGTCTGTTCATTTTGTTCAGTCTTTTCTATCATGTAAGCTGCAGGTGGCAGCTTGTTGGAGATTGGATGCACCACCTTTTAATTGATACCCATCCAGACCAGTTTGGCTCCACCTTCTTCCTGACTCCCAGACAGATTGTGTTGTGTTTCTGAATCAAGAAATGTCTGAATCTAGAAGAGCTGGATTAGCAGCTTTGTATGTACTGTCAGTTCTCTACAAATAGCCCAGGTAAAGACATTTCTTCTGTTTCTGTTAGCGAAGGATGTAAGAGTCCTGCATTGCTTTTGTTTATTTTTGGGGTAATTCCCCTGAGAACACTGTGAGTTTCAGCTGTACCCACCCTGACCTTTTGTAAGTGGAAAATACACCAAAATGTTTGGAGTGCAAATCTTGCCGCAGCACTGGGAGTGAGGAACAAGGAGTTACTTCTATGGTATTCTCTGGCCGTCTTAGGCTGGGGTGTAATATAAAGTGTAGGGGCACCAACTAACTGGAAGCTGGGCGGTTTGATACCTAAATATCACACCTGCTAAATATCCTTGGGCCATACACTAACCCCAAGGTGCTCTCTGGTGCATCCACCCATAGATGTGAATGTTAGGCTACGTTCACACTGCAGGTCTTAATGCTCAATTCCGATTTTTTGATCAAATCCGATTTTTTTTTTTCTCTGCTTGTTCACACTACAAATAAAATGTGACAGCAAACGCGCTCTAGTGTGAACGGTTCACGGCCCTCAAAGCGGCCGCATGCGCAAAAGAAGACGTCACAGACAACGCGCTCTGTTTACGGAAGTAAAAATGGCGGCTACAGAGCGAGTAGGTGTTGTTGCAGCAGTCTATCAATTTCTGCACAGTCGTAACCGACAGAATTTTGACAAATTAATTAGAGAAAGAAGGACACTGAGAAAACAGAGAGCCGTGCTTTAACAATGGCCGCCATGCTTTCTCGTTTGTCTTCTCCGGAGCTCATAATTGGCGTCTGTCTTGTGTCAGTGACGTAAAAGACGGATATAATGCGACATGACCATTCAAACAGCAGTCGCTTTCTAAAACATCAGGGCCCGTATCCCTAAAGATTCTGAGAATCCTCTCAGAGAGCTCCTAACTTAACCTAAAAATTCCTTGCCAGGAGTTTTAGCTTAGAAGTGATTCCAGAACATTTTCAGTGAACTCTGAGCAAGGAATGGATGG